CTTTAACACGTCCAGCATGACATTTTATTGAAATTTCATTTAGACCTGGAGGTATATCCGATTGTTTTTCCCTTTGGATAGCAGTGCCGCCATTTGACTATCAAAAGCTCAGATGAGGTTATTTGTGTAGATTTCACAAAATTACTTAAGAGCCGACATGCACAAACTAAAACATATATTTTTACTAATAGAAAGGGGAACATTGGAATATCTTTCAGTCATCACAGGAACGTGACAAAAACAAATAATTGTATTTATAAATATATTTTGTGAGTTGAACATGGTAGATAAATCAACTTCTACTCATCACCCAGGGGGACTAGGTTATCTATCATATTTCCCATGCTATCACCCACCTACTCCAAAATGTGATTAGAACCCCCACCCATCCAATATACACACACACGCGCACATGAAATACATGCTTTGACATGGTGAATTGTTGCCTAGTTTGTGTGCTAATTCTCGTATTTTTAGTGAAGATGTCATATCTAATACATACCCATACTTATGCATTGATTAATCCAGGAGTGATGACAGGTTTGTATTGCTGTGAAATCAATGTTCAAGAAAAATTGTGCCAAGACACGATTTAAAGTCTCAAATTTGGTCGGGAACTGAGAACATTGATGGCACAAACTAAAACACGTTAAGTCCATGGCATTTGTAGATACTATGATACCACACATATATTTCATTGCCCATGTCGAAACGAATACGTTTTCGCGACCAGTTTGAAGAGTTCAACCAATGTGGTCTCGAACTAGAAACATCATCTCTTTTTTACCAAACATGCCCTGGCTGGCTCTTATCAGGATGACCGCTCAATTCAAAATGATCAGTTATCGGATTTGGTCCGAATTGATTTAGGGCTTTAGGCTAATGTCCAAGGGAAATACCACCTCAGTTCGAGAAAAAATGTTATATTTTGGGGCAAAGTACTCTTCTCGAACTTGAAGGAATTTTCAAAACGGCTACTGAATTCAAAATGGCTACGATTTTTTAGCCGTTTTCAGGTTTTAGGTTTTATAATTACTGATAAAGGTGATGCTTTGTGGCAATCATTTTGAGAAGTGGGTGTGGATCTGCCAAAAGGGGAAAATGACGCAGGCTGGTTATCTCAATCATAATGTTCAAAATGACGAGTGATAAAATATCTTTGTTCGGCGGCATTTGCTACTCCGGAAAGCTGCTATTTTTCTAGTCTATAATAGATTGCCTAAGAGATGAGAGCCATGTGCCTCCTTGTAGTGTCTCAAATCTTCACACATTTGTTGTAAGACGACGAATGCTGTAAGTCTATGGCCTCCAGAGATGATCCCAAAGGAATGGTATAATCATACCATGACATTTTACAAGCTCATTCCTGTTACGTAAGCGTTGTGATTAATAATAAGGCGATTCATTACACATTACTTTGAAGTAGGACTAACTATTTAAAATTGAACAGTCCATTTTTATTTTGTTTTAGACAGGATGGATAAAAGATATGACAAATGTGAATGAATAGTACCAAATAAGCTATTGAAAATACTTTTGAAGAACAAACATGCGATGAAGTGTGGAAGTCAACTGACATAATATTCTCAAGCCAAAATCACCACTTGCAATTATTAAAATGATGAATTGTTACCGAAATCTCATTTCGCCTGTACAATAGATATAATTATTCATTAAACATTAGTTTTGCCATGCATTCAACAAATAATTGCATGCTACAAACAAGTAATGGCTATTAACTTTTTGCTTCGATGCCATGCACTTTATTTGTGATTGTACTAAAAGGTCTTCGGGTGTGAGAGTTTTCCTTGCAGATAAGGGTAAATTTGAACTCGTTCTACCCTCACAGGTATTGAAATATACGTGATCAATGAGAATTTAATAGTAAGCTCACTCGCCTGTAGCCTGTTCATCATTTTACAATTGTCATGGCATTTTAAAAACATTATTAATACTATACATTATGATGTAGGTTATACCCCAGGGAATGTCATACACCAAAGTGTATTATTAGTTGTTGTTGTAGGGTTATGTTTGGACCTTTACACGACAACCAGTGATTCCATCTCTGGGCATTTCGTTCAGTGCGATAGTGACAAAGCAAATTACTTAACGATCGCACTGGAAGCAGTGATTGCTAGGTGAATAATAAAAAAAGATTTATTTCTCGCAAACATATTGACTTACATTAATATGCATGGTAAATGTCTCACAATTTTGCCATGGTGGCATGATAAAATACAATGTGAAGGAACAAAACTTGTTTGTCCCCTGTAATACAGATGCTTGAGTGCTCACGTATGTCTTAAAGGGTGACGCATATCGTTTAGCAAATCGAACGCTCGTTTCTGGTGTTGCTCACCGTTTAGTATAAAAGGCCCGATCCCGGAATAATACTCAAGGGTTCACAGGTTCGAGGTCGTTGTGTCAACACCTCTAACTGTTATATAGCATAAGTACATTATAGATCGTCACACATTTATAAAAGGGTGATTTTTATTTTGACAAATCAATTTTACATTTATGGGTGAAGTTTCATGATCTTCTATTTGTGTATAATAAGGAAAAACTGGCATCTAAATTTCCCCATAACGTAATAGCGCACAGCTTGGCATATGAAATATCCTACAAATGAAACAAAGCAAGACAAACCAGTTTCTAATACAAGGATTTATATTGGCTGTTGTACATGTATTCTTTGAACGCAATCACTCTTTGGATAACGTTTTCAAAATCATTATAAACGGATTACTTTATCTCAAAGACAATTTCAATAAACTGGATTTTACAGAACTCCCCTTATTTCTTAAAAATGGACTGATCCAGTTGATTCGCCTGGAGCCGCCATATTGTTTTTATACGGGATGCTAATCGGAACCCTTTAAATAGGTCGAAACGTGTCTTCACTTTAATTACCCACTTAAAATTAATTCTTAATGGACCTCTGAAGAAAAAGACCCCACCCACTGTACTACGTAGTATATAGGTCATGCAAAAACATATTAGTTCAATTCAACGACATTATAACTTCGTGTGTAGGCCAGTTAACATTTTCTCCGTGTTAACAGTCACGAAGGCTTTATCATTGATTGCTTTTTTATTAGGACAGGGGGTGAGTTCCCGGGGTTGAGTTGGGGTATTATTGATCCATAATTAACAGAGAGAGATAACTTTTTCAGAAATTAACAAAATGAACTCCCAATACATGTTTCTTTTAAAAGTCAATATGGAAATCAATTATATGGAGCACGAAAGTAAATTATTAATTAACTTTAATGGGGCAGATTTTTCATTTCGGTCGTAATCTCATCGACACCATGTATAAAAGTTACCAACGACACTTCTGCACTTCAAATCACCCCCACAGCTACTTGTGTATTGAAAAATGTTGTCAGTAGTTGACACAAAGCTAAATTTTATCTAATTAACCCCTAATCCAGCTTATTTTTAACCCCAAGATTTCAATACACAAGCAGTTGTGGGGGCGACTTGAAAAATGGGGGTAGTGTGGCGTAAACACAATATAGTGACTAATGTGTATACATCATGCCTTGAAATAAGTTAAGGCGTTTACTCTAGAAGTATGGATTGCGTCGCGTTTTAATTTCAATTTTAAAATAGAATTTGACAAGATAATTATCTTGACATCATCAGCAATCCATAATATATAGCACATCTTGATTTACTGGTTCCAGCAAAGTGGAATTCGGTATAACATATGAGAATAGTAGTTGTTTCAGTAAGACTAGATGATTAAAATACATTGTTCATTTGAGATATATTTTGCATTGATAAAGAGAATGAAAATCCTTCTATGACAAAGAATTAAGCTAATCAAAAAGTGATTTGTGATTTTCTTTGAATACAAAATAAGAATTAATTTTCTAAATGTATCAACAGACAGACGTTAATGTAAAGGTGTAGTATTTCGCCTCTAATGAGTTTTATTAATCTCTGGTTTAAAATTTCCATTCAAAATTGACAACCTTACGATGCCGCTGAATGTTTTTATAGATTTTTGTGATTTATCATGACAAATCTACTTGGAATTGAATTGTGCAATCAAATATGATTGCTATTTGGTAAACGCACGAGAAATGAAATAAGCACGAGGAATTTAAATCTGGTAAGATTTTCTGCTTGTTTGTCGATCTGTTTTGTACTAGGATTGTGTCAGCTATGTTACACAAGTCTCTTTCAATTCATTATCGCGCGACCTGCTATAGTTCTGGGGATTCGACCACTCTATAATTGTGAAAAGTAATTTGTGCTTAATTTCATAAAATAAGTTCAGCAATTTACATGTATCATCGAGTCGTCATGAGACCGAATCTGTGACATCATCGGGTATCCCTCATTATCGAGGCCAAAAACATAATATTTGATATGATGTGTTGCGTCCCTTGCTGTAAAAACAGTCTAAATACACTTACCATTTTACCATTCTGATACTCATCACATTTTTCTGTCTTCAACCAGAAATATAAATAAATAAATAAATAAATACTAGTGTGAAGCTAATAGAAGGCCATGATATCTCATGATGCCATTTTACTGTTGATCTTAATCTTCGATCGAACTTTGAAATCTTTTTATACTCTGGTATTCACTTTATTCAGGCTACCTGTTGTGAGGTCGATAATTTGATGATGTGACTCAGACTAGACCGGGAAATATCAAGAATAAGTGTGTTTAATTATAGCCCTGATTCCTCTAAAATTCTAAAAGTTTTATATTCCTGTGTCGAAATGATGGTTCAGAAACCCTTAAACCTTGTTACAATAACAATAAGTGTTTTTGTAATTTTGTTATCTATCGAATGGAAAAATTAAATGTAATTTGAGCTACGAACTCCGTTTTTACGTGCAGGAAATATGTACGACTCCAGAAACGTTACATGTATTGTAGGTGTATTGCAAATAAGAAAATATAAAGTTCATAAATTATGTTATTACAGTGACTGTGTTTATTTCTAAAGTGCTATTTTCTTAATTTTACAGGTGCCACACTTAAGTTAATTCCTGAAACAAGACAAAAACGAAGTGCCTCTTGGCTAGAAAATCCAGTAAAGGACACAGATGTCCAAGATAATACGTATATCAAAAGAAGCTATTTAGATTCAAGGTGAGTGTGGTTGTGTGGGAAAGGGGATAGTCCTGGGCCCGGGGTATAGACCTTCTATGAGTAATTCTACTTTTTACTTGGTGTCATCGGGTATCGATCGAGGTCTCAAACTTTTGACATTTTGCCCTGCATTATAAGCACTTACTTTTGAAATCATCAATGTTTATAGTTATCGTTTGTAGCAAATGACATATTGGATTACAAAATTATTAAAGGCCCCATATAAAGTTTAAACCACTATGGCTCATATTATAGTCTAAACCAATGTTATCAAAAATCCCATATCATGGATTACATATAGTAGTCATTTTGTATCGGAATGGAATAAGGCCATTTAATCACTCATTTAACGTTTTCATATTCACAACTATTCAACTCTCACTCTGTACATTATTGTATTGCTTCATCGTAATCTTACGCCTGTCCGCCATCAGTTTGACTAATTGCAATTATATAATTGCATTCTAACTATTTTAACGTTTGGAAACCCGATCACTTACAAAACCATCAAAAAGGACAATGACGGGAATGATATAACTCATTGCTCAATGCACGGCATTTCATCATTGTAATGTTACATATAATGTTACTAATTTGTTTTCGGAATATTGAAGCTCAGATTCGATGAGCATTGGTTATTTATGATTACGAGCCTTGCAAGTTAATACATTCTTTTAATTCTTTTATATTTGATTTATCTTCTGCGTTTGTCTTCTCTTCCCGATCCTAATTAATACACCAATATACACCCTATGCTTAGTGAGCGGACCTAATTTCAAGGGTGATGGTAAGACGATACATGGCGCCCAAACCTGGCCTGTAACTAGGTGCACTGATGCTTTCTTCGCAAATTACATCGCCATCGCTCGTCATCGAAATTCTGATCGCCGAATAGTAAACACTCATTTTGTATTGGATGTACATAACTAGAGACCGCCTTATTTCGCATATTTGAAAAAATAAAACATATCTAGGTACATATATCTTTATATGTGACATCGATCAGGAATTATTGACATATTGACAATATTAGGTTGTAATTTCTTGCGGTAAATTCAAATTGTATCTTTAAACGACTATTTCATCTTAACTATTCGTTTTATTGGATGTAAAACAAACGGTATGCATAGTTTAACATCTTTCACTTCTAAAACAGCATAAAATATCACAATATCATCACCTAACGCTGCAATAATACGACTTAAAAGATTATGGTACTAATATTCTTTGGTTTTTGGGCGCCATGCCTCGTCTTACCATCACCCTTGAAATTAGGTCCGCTCACTAAGCATAGGGTGATATAAGAAATTCCCAAAATATTCAAATCTCAAAAATATTCTCACAAAGTTTGATAAATACAGGGTGAGCCGAAAAAAGGTAACCCAAACAAATCTTAATAACTCCGGTATGGGTTAAAGTCACATTTGGCAAAATTGAACCTTGTTCAGAGTTCTTCAGAAGAACGAGTGTGCAACCTTATAATAATTCATACATATCACGTCTCTTACCATGTGCTATGACTATGTACTTGACACCCTTGATATTTTCAAGAATAACGTATGTTGGTGAAAATTGAATGTTATCAAGTTTTTTAGGGTGGGGGAAATTTGAGGACCGAGTCCCCGGTGTTTGCTTTGAGTATATTAGGTTATATTAAATGAGTCTTCTTTTGATTTGAATTACATGCCACATGATTTGTAGTTCGTATATATATGGAACTTTCGATTCCATTCTGAAAAGTTATGTGTTCTGTTGAATCACTGGGAGGCAATGACCCTAAGAATCCAAGTTAAGTAAAACTGGGTATTTTTGAAAATTGCTTTCATTGATCATATGAGCAAAAATGGCGAACTGTTCCAAAATGTCGGTTTCGAGATACCTCTAGTTCTAAACAACATCTCTCTATCCCCTAAAGTAATCACAGAATACGATGTAACACTAAATATGCCTGTTCGATAACATTTTGGTCTTTGTGTTGCAGTAAAACCCTTCATAAGGAACACTTATCTACACGCAACAAAGAACACTTTCGGCCAGTTTTACATATACTATATGTTTCAAAAAGCATATTTTAAATGGCCATCAAAATCACGACGTTATCACCCAGGTTTTACTTATTGTATCAAATACACTCGATTGTTGATTTATAATTTGCAATTCGATTTCATTTTTCTGCAAGAGATGCCTGTTTAAATTAAGTTCACGAACCTATAATTGAAATATTATATGTCTGTCTCGTGCACATTAAGATCTTCCATTTAATTACAAAGACCAGCATGGTAGCCATTGAGGGATTGCAGATCCTCAGGTGCGCGGCATTTTGCACTATGGAACACTCAAGAGCAATAGAATATCTAAATAAAATATGTCAGTATATTCAGCCAGGGTCTCAGTTTCAAGAAATGCCTCACTTTTGAAAAGATGGGTTTTAATTTTGAAAAATAAACCACATTTTGTAGGTCCTAACTTTGAAAATGGGCCAATATTATGAGTACAACATATTTCCCAGCAGAATTGTTTCGGACATCTTCGTTTAAGAATTTTCAGATCTGATCAAATTTGTGACCTCGGAATATTAAGGTTGTCAGAATAGTTTGGCAAGAGTCAGAACACTTGGATTGCCCAGAACAGTTGGGCTTCTACAAACGTTCGATGTACACAGGTTTTACTTTATAACCAGAATTACGCAGGGTGGTTATTTCTTGCTGTGAAACATGGTACGCAATATTGTGAACGATTTTTACAACAATCAAAAGTTTTTTGGCTCCCAAGTCCAATGTCGAAGGTCAAGGGTGTATGTCGCAGGTTTTGTTAACATTCCATTGAAAATACCTTACACGGGAAGTGTATGTCGACAGCAAAGAAAAGAAAATTTCTTTGCACGATATACCCCTTGATCAGACCAGATTACATGTATCTTCGTTAAAACATCACGTATTTTAGAACTATAGGTCCTTGAATGTGTTTACCTATACAATGACATAATTATAATCATAATTCAATCCTATTATGAAGTGATGTCACTACATGAACGCCGAGTATGCCACCATGTGACTCAAATAGATCTGTTGGCGAAAATGTCGTGGAACTTAAACAGAATAAAATTAGATAATTGCAAACGGCCATATGACGTCTTTGTAATACCTTTGATTAATTAATAGAATATTAATAAACATCATGATAATACGAAGGGAAGTTAAAAAGTAATGGACAAAATTTTATAGGCATACTAAACATTAGTCTAATTTTTTGACAGACATTATACCTAATTATCTAGCATGTGTCAAAAATGTTTGATTTCATGTTATTGACTCAAAACACTTGTCGGGTCTATAAAAATGCTCACGCAATTGTCAAGGAAGACTCACATGTCCATGTGTATACTGGTGAGTTTTGACTCTAAAATTCCAAAGATCCAAGAAATATACTTTACAAGAAATTAAAGGTTATAGTATAGTTGGTAGCAACTGGAGACAAAAGGCAGGCTGTATTCGGGAAAATCAAAGATACTCTTGGAGACAAGGACTTGTCAAGGCAAACCATTTAGAGATGGTACAAGCACTTCAGTGGATGTGATGAGAGGGTATTGGATCTTCAGTGATCTGGAAGACCACAGACGGACCACCCTTATAACAATATTCATTTTGTAGAAGTCATCTTAAATGCAGTTGGGAGATTTTCTCTAAGGGAAATAGGTGTCATTACAGATGATTAAAATATTAAATAAAATGTAAATGAATGATCAGGAAAGATGTGGATTATGGTAAAACTAATTGCGCTAAGCTACCGTCTTCAAATATTAAAAAATGTATTTCATCAGCAAGTATTATATGTTATTATGATGCCAATATGCTTAAAAAGTCAGTTCCGGGTATATGCACCCTAGTGCGGAGATGTGCCATATCTTGAAATGTAGTTTTCTCTGTGTGATACAGTTTTCACGACTTATAGATAGGTTGATATTCCTATTTACCAATTTCATACACATTAGGTGAGAGTAAGCATGTCTTTAAACTTTTGTCCATTACTTTTGAATCACCCCTCGTATATTTATGAATTTGTGCCAACGCCAACGACTTCATTTAATTTCAGATTTATGGGGTCTATGCTGAGAAAACGTGACATGAATTGCTGTTTCACTGGTGGATGTACCCCAATGGAACAAAAGATGTGCACTGTGCTACAGATCATCCAAGACTGTGGCTACCTCAGTCAGAGGGGACCATGTTAACGTACCCGCCGTCTTTGGGTGAACCATCTTCTTTGGAACACCACCTATCGTTAGAACGTGATACAAATTCAACTGAGATACGTCATATTGGAGATGACACCTCTAAATTAACTGCATTCGAAAATATATCCTGTTTCACGTATCCCTGAAAATATATTCTGAAAAAAACATTGATATGACAAAAATGAGATGATAAAACCGAATGTATTGTCTTTTTATCTGTTTTATAGTGCTATATGATACAATATCATCACATTCAAGATGATTCGGGTTACTCTTCCTGATATGTTATATTGATTATAAGCAAAATAGACATGCAAAATAAAACAATTCAGCAGTTCCTGTAAATTGCTTCCAAGAATTTTACAATTTAGTTTTTATGGATTTTCGGAGCAGTGAGGAATTGGAAATAAATTCTTCCTTGCTATCATCTCTGTGTTATTTCTAACATTCTTGATTATTTCGAATTGTTAATTTTTTGGTTAACTTAATCTATGGCTTGACCACCAAGTGCAAATAGAAAAGTACAAAAATAATTCAAACACCGAAGTTTGTGTATTTCGAATTGTTTTTCACTTTGCTTTTTTGAATGTATTGTAAAGTCTTGTTCATGCTTCCCCACCCAGTATTATGAGTTGTCACAGCGTCACTGTACAATAAATATTCGAGATTTGCATACGTTTGTTTATATGTTTGTACTTTTCTATTTAGCCTCGAATCGTAGTCTTTTAATTAAGTCCATAATAACTTTAAATCATTTGAACAATAAAATCCAGATAAACAAAACACTTAACAACAATATATTCCGTAGGACGAAATAAAAAATGCGATAGGACAACACCGGGGGACAACATTTACATTCTTACAGAGAGAGAAAAATCAGAAATGATAAACGCATAACATGTATACACATCAGTTCTAAAAAATAATGACTAATGAGCCTCCATGTAGAAAAACGAAATATAACTTAGTCCAACAACATTCATCGACAACGACAAAATTATTTTATATATACCTTTACCTTATGGTGACAACAACATGGTTGGAGGGAAGAACTCAGAGAACACTTGTAAGTTTCATTCTAAAACATTTTGTCCATCATCATGTCCTTTAGCACCGAATTGTGACGTTTTTCAATCGGAAACATTGAATATAATTTTAAGGTGTTGATGATTAATGTTTTCTTAATTTTATTTTCACGTAGCAAGTCTACACATTCTTGGAGCAAGACTTCTTCCTTAATAGTTAATGTTAAACAAACCGAAAACATCCACTGAAGATATAACTTCTTTCAGATGATGTCATAAATTGATAGGCAAGTCATGAAACGAGTAAAACATATATCTAAAGAAAAATCTTACTCTTGACTCAATTTGCCACTTGTCTTGCTGCCTCTTACTATTATTCCAACATCACGAGAATAAAACCAGCGGGCAGCGGAAGACGAAGGGACGTATTGATCAATTTTTAATAGATGTGAGAGTGTTTTCAAAATTGCTGCGTTTAATGCCAAAATATTTTGACGCACTGATTGGAGAGTTGTAATGGGCGTCTATTTGGAAAGTATGGGCGAAAATAAAGAAGGAACTGGCGAGATAACTAGACTTATAGTTGAAATCTATGAAAATTTGCGAGATCTCACAGCTGGGGACCCAAACGTCGCTAAAACGAGGGACTCTGTACAATAAAGCAATGCACCGACAAAAAGTCATTTTCATTTTGCTTTGTATGGAACAAGTTTGAAGAAAAACAGTGCAGTGTGAGCCTCACAATCCTTGATTTTCAAACACTTGGTACACTCCCCTCCATAAGTTTGGCAACCGTAGCCCCCTCATTGAACTACGTGTTAAAGCCTCTTTACGTTTAAATTTTTTATCAATTAACCAGCGATGAAAATACTTATGATATTGATGAAAACGTTACTTGACTTTATTTCCAATACCTCAAAATTTTCTCAATTTTTTAATTAGTTCGAAAATTGATGATAAATTTGAAGAAAGTCAACATTCCCATGTTAACCAATGGGAAATGGTAGGTTTGCCGCAAGTCATATGACAGAATATCCATCCATCCGAGTCCTTGCAAAAATACAAGTAAGGTAGGCAATTGAATTTGCTAACTTTATTTAACAGGTTCAACAAATTGTTATAGGTCTTTAAAGTCAAAATTGTTTTTCTAAAAAACTCTCCCATTGAAATAACACAGGAGACAAAAATGACTTTGAAGCTCTGTCACTTTTACGGAAAGCGAAAGGGGATATACCGCAGAATTTAAAATTCAATGGAGTTTTAACATGGGAGTGATATCACACACCGCGGCCCAGTCAGATGTATTTCTGCGCACTTTATTTATTTAATTCACTTTGCACAACGCGCCCCCTGTAATTCATTCAGTGCGCAATAAAAAAAATTGTTTATGAGTGATATTGCACACCGCGGCCCAGTAAGATCGATTTCTGCGCACTTTATTTATTAACACACTCAAAATATCGCGCTGAAGCTTGTATATGCTGGCGCGATGTAAATATAGTTTTCTGTTAATTAATGCCCAACAAGAAAGGTACGGAAAGCGATAGGGGACATGCGCATAATTCAAAATCGAATGGAGTTTTAACATGGGAGTGATATCACACACCGCGGCCCAGTCAGATAGATTTCATCGCGCACTGAATGAATTACAGGGGCCGCGTTGTGCAAAGTTAATTAAAATAAAGTGCGCAGAAATTCCGGCATTCAGTGCGCGATGAAAAAATGATTATCTGTGAATAAAAAACGAATAAAAATTCGTGGCACCACGAATTTGATTTTTTTCGAAAGACTGCGGAGTGAACCAGCGAAATGACAATTTTGGATAATATTGATGGCTCTAACGAGGAGAACTTTGAGATTTCCCGATTCTAGCGCGCAGCACATCCAGGACATGCGCACTTTTATTAGATTCGATTCTAATATGGTTTCAAAGATAATGTTCATTAAAAGAGGGCGTATGCATACAGATTACACGTGGCGTTATGTTGAAGTGACCCTTGCAAAGGGTTCCATTGAAAATATATTATTTTTGGCCATTTCATATCTTTTAATTGATATTGTATAAAATATTTTCAATGTTTGAAAATTATAATCTTATAAATAACATTTTATGTAATAAAACTGTAACGAAATGGTAAATACGGAATATGATGCAATACAATGCAGTGCAATATGATGTTATACAATGCAGTGCAATATGATACAATACAATGTGGTGCAATATGATGAAATACAATGCGGTGCAATATGATGCAATACAATGCAGAGCAATATGATGCAATACAATGCAGTGCAATATGATGCAATACAATGTAGTGTAATATGATGCAATACAAAGCAGTGTTATATGATGCAAAAAATGCAGTGCAATATGATACTATACAATGTAGTGCAATATAAAACAATAAAATGCAGTGCAATACGGTTCAATACAATACAGTGCAATATAATGCAATACAATGCAGTGCAATGCAATACAGTGCAAAACAATGCCGTGCAGTGCAATACAATGTAGTTCGTTTCAATACAATGCAGTGCAATACAATGTGGTACAGTGCAATACAATGCAGTGCAATACAATACATCGCAGTTCAATACAGTGCAATACAATGTAGTGCAATGCAGTGCAATAAAATACAATACAGTGCAATTCAATACAATGCAATACAACACAGTGCAATACAATACAATACTGTGTAATACAATACATTACACTGCAATAAAATACAATGCAGTGTAATAAAATGCAGTGTAAATCAAGACAATGCAATACAATACTGTGCAATACAATACAGTGCAATATAATATAATGCAGTACATTGCAATGCAGTGCAATACAATATGGTGCAGTGCAATATATTGCTGTGCAATACAAAGTAATGCAGTGTAATACAATACAGTGCAACACAATGTGGTACAGTGCAATACAATGCAGTGCAATACAATACATCGCAGTTCAATACAGTGCAATACAATGTAGTGCAATGCAGTGCAATAAAATACAATACAGTTACAATGTATTTCATTTTAATACAATGCAGTGCAATACAATGTGGTACAGTGCAATACAATGCAGTGCAATACAATACATCGCAGTTCAAAACAGTGCAGTGCAATACATCGCAGTTCAATACAGTGCAATACAATGTAGTGCAATGCAGTGCAATGAAATACAATACAGTGCAATTCAATACAATACAATACAATACAGTGCAATACAAAACAATGCTGTGCAATAGAATACAGTACACTGCAGTACAATACAATGCAGTGCAATAAAATACAATGCAGTGTAATAAAATGCAGTGTAATTCAAGACAATGCAATACAATACTGTGCAATACAATACAGTGCAATATAATACAATGCAGTGCACTGCAATGCAATGCAATACAATATGGTGCAGTGCAATATATTGCAGTGCAATTCAAAACAATGCAGTGTAATACAATGCAGTGCAACACAATGTGGTACAGTGCAATACATTATAATGCAGTGCAATACAATACAATGCAGCGCAATACAATGTAGTACACTGCAGTACAATACAATGCAGTGCAATTAAGTACAATGCAGTGCAATATAATATAATACAGTGCAATACAGTACAATATAATGCAATAGAATACAATGCAGTGTAATACAATACAATGCAGTGCAATACAATAAAATGCAGTACAATACAATACAATGATGTGCTATACAATACAATACAATGCAATTCAATGCTATGAATGTACATCTTCTACAGTCAAATAAACACAGATAAAATTGTAATAGTATGTTAGTGTATGGAGTTTGAAGTGGGTGGGGGATACAATTACCAGTCTGCTGATTGATGACTTAATAACTTAGAAAAGATCTCCTAGCTTTTAACAGGTGGCACTTATGTCTACCTTATGTTCTTGAACAATCTCGTCTAAGAATACAGACCCATATCCTGGATTAACCTGGGGGAGTGGTTTTACCAAGGGGGAGATTTTGCCAAGAGGGGGGAGCTTTTTGACAGTTATGGCAAAAAAATCATGCGCAAAGTGCTAAGAATGGTGAAAAACTGCATGGTTTTGAACGAATATTTGGCAAGGGGGAGGGGGGTGAGGCCCCCTGGCTACGGCCATGGAATACATATAGGAACTTTCCTTCTCCCAGAAGAAATGGTATACAGGTATTACATCAATCATTCTGGTATTTTGTATACGAAGGTCTGTAGTTACTTTATTGAAAGATGGCAGTGTACACTGTGTACTACCATTTTGAGGTCAGTTTGACTTTATAATTCTGCGCACTATAATCTGTAATTCTCATAGATATCCTCTCTAGAGGCATCACTGTGATCCAAAATTACAATTTCGCAGGTCAAGTCTGCAGTCTTTCGAAAAAAGTTGAATTCGTTGTGCTACCCTTTCTTGTTGGGCATTTATTAATAGAAAACTATAATTACATCGCGCCAGCATATACAAGCCTCAGCGCGATATTTTGAGTGTGTTAATAAATAAAGTGCGCAGAAATCGATCTTACTGGGCCGCGGTGTGCGATATCACTCATAAACAATTTTTAATTGCGCACTGAATGAATTACAGGGGGCGCGTTGTGCAAAGTGAATTAAATAAATAAAGTGCGCAGAAATATATCTGACTGGG